GGTTGTATTTTAATCGAATATTGTTTTGAAAGAATTTTAATCAGTTCAAAAAATATGTGTGTGAAAGTAAAATGATGTATCTTTAATATTTCCTTACTAAAAATAATTTTCCCAAAAGGCAACTGCATAAATGTTAGAAATAGTATACTCTTAAGGAGTGAAATGAAGCAAAAAAAGGAAATAATTTGACTGAAAAAAATTTTCAAAGAACAGTGCAAAGTGAAGAGAAAAGAAAAGGGCAGCGTAGGGCTCAGCTATATTTAGTTTGATAACTGATGTACAACAATTGTAGATTCTTTTTGAACAAATTGGGTAGCCCTTAAAAGGGCTTTTGGTGGCTGAATAGCCTCTGCAGACTGAAGTCTGGAACAGTTTACTTCTTCTTTGGTGTCTTCTTGGCTTTTGGTTTAGCTGCCTTCTTTTTAGCTGGTGACTTGGCTGCCTTCTTTGGCTTGGCTGCTTTCTTTGCTGCTGGTTTCTTAGCTTTAGGTTTGGCTGCCTTTTTCTCTCCAGCTGGTTTCTTTGCTGCCTTCTTTTTCTTAGGTGTGCTCTTTGCCTTCTTAGGCTTGGCTGCCTTAGGTTTAGCTGTTTTCTTTGCCTTTGCTGGCTTCTTTTTAGCTTGTTTTGCCTCTCCAATTCTGAAAGATCCGGATGCGCCAGTTCCCTTGGACTGCTTCAAACTGTTGTTCTTAACTCCGGCTCTGAGTGCAAGTTTTAAATGAGCGTTTACTGACTTGGCATTTTTTCCGACGTTGAAGTTGGCCATGATGTACTTCAAAATTGCTTGCCTTGAGGAACCTCCACGTTCTTTCAAAGCGGCGATGGCTTTCCCAATCATCTCGCTGTATTTAGGATGTGCTGAAGGCTTCTTTGGCTTGGCTGCTGCCTTTTTCTTTGGTGATTTAGCTGGTGCTGGTGCTGCTACGTCTGCCATTTTGAACGATTCAAAGTATTATCCTTTACGAAGTTTATACTACGAATAACGATTTGAAAATAACGCCATTTCAGGCCTCGTTTAGTTTATAATAGACGAACGCGGACCTCGACGAAGACACCCTTAAAATAACTTGTAAAATCCATTACACGATCTCGGTAAAATGATTATGTGCTTCTTCGAAGACTTTTATCATAATTTTTAGTATAATTCTATCAAAAACATTCACATATAGCATATCAAATTGCTCAACAGTCATTAATCTTGCAGGTTAGATAAACTGTGTATTTTTCAATGAACACAGTAGAAAGATATTAATAGTTAAAGTAGAACCGACTGATTTGTCTTCAAAGGTATGTTGACAGAAAACTTACGAGTTTTTCTCAATAGAAAAATATTCTACCGTCGTTAAATTGTGCAGCGGAAGAAATATCATTTCTCTACAGGTTTTTTTCCGTTTTTATTCACTGGACGTATGTTACTCGTCGTAATAAGTTTGTTTTCAGCTGGAGGGAAACACACAAAAAGTTCACGCGCCATTGTTTGGTTGCAAATTTTTACGAAAACTTCAAAAAACATTTTTATTCAACCTAAGCGAAATTTCACAGACATTCTAGATTCGAATGAATAAAACCAATATCTAGAATATGTATTTGAAATGTCGTTTAATTTAATCTAGCTTTGGGAACTTTTCAGAGAGCGACTTTATGTTCAGTGGATCTGAGGCACTACTCGGAAAACTGTGATGTATGCATGTAAAATTTGAGCACTTCGTTGTCGAAAACTCGAATATGTCTTTTTGAATATATCATATTTTTCAAAAAATATGTGTCAATAATTTTATTATCAAAAAACGATGGTCCGTGCTCGAACTGGCCTCCTGAAAGTTTCAATACAAAAAATACCAACCAAACCCAAGATTCTTGTATTTTTATAATTCGAAAGTTGTACACATCATTTGCATCTAAATTAACAATTACAAAGGTTCATCTATCTCATAAAAAGGGGGGGATGTCATGGTGTAGACTCTGGCCATAAGTATGCATTTTACCTATATAGGCTATAGAGGCAAGCAAGACTATAATCGGTACCGTTTGAAGCAGCATACACACGGACGATTAAAAAGAGATAGAAAGACAAAAGTCACATCTATGTTAACCATTGGACTTGGGGCAAAAATAGTCTCCACTGTATTTAACTGAACCCCTCCCCCCAAAACAAAATCCCGAGGAAAAAGGGGGGGGGGGCGGGGTGGTGGTATATATTTTCAATGAATGATAGTTAGGCTGAAATATTTGTTAACTATTGCAACATTAACAAGCAGATTTATGTAAAAAGAATCCAAAACCAAGACTGAAACGAAGAAAAAGATATTCTCCGTTAAAAAAGTAAATAAATAGGGTTCTCTATTGTCTCTGAAACGCAAGTTCAATACACCGAAAATTTTGTACTTGCCCCAGCGCAGACCCCCTTAATTTGCCTCAATTCCTTTAGGGCTGCTCTATGGCCATGGTAAAAGTACTCGGAAGTTATAAACATTTCGGTATAACTTACGAAGACTTTTTAATCGGTTTTTTTTTTGGTGAGGAGATTCGCTGGCCCGGCTTCTGAAGTCCAATTAACACATGCTGGGTCCATGATACATGATTTTCCAATGCCAATCACAGAGCCATATACCACAAAATTTGATCGGACGTGGCAGCTCAGCTCAGCATTCATTTAAAAAGAACGTTACTTTCCAAAGGCAATCATCTAGTCGGAATTTAATACATCAATAATAATGAACAATCACGGTCCTCGACAAAGAAAAATAAGTGATAGCCAGTGTAGACTTATTTTTGTAATTGTTCTCATGGTTATAACTTGGGTATTAATTGCGTTATAAATATGAAATTCTTCAAGCAATATTTCTTAAAAATAAAAGGATGTTCGCTACTCCTGTTTCTGACTTCTTGTCAGATATACGGAATCCTCTAGCTTTATCTATGTAGTGCCATTAAACATTTTGCCCGCTAACCCCCACTTTTCTTTTCATAATTTTGTATGAAAAATCTAGAGAGAATCATTTCTTGCCAAATTTTCAATTGCTAATATCTCAAAAACAAGAACATGGACCTGCTTTCTATGTTCCATTATTTATATACTAATCAATTTCAAAAAACCTTTTAAAGGCTTGTTATTTTTAAAAAAAAGGAGCGAACATCTTGTTTCAACAGTTTGTTCTTATGTTGTGCTATTGCACCACTGTCCCAGGTTAGGGGATGATTGAGCGCTCACAAACATGTTTAAGACCACCACATTCTTTATGTTCCTGCCCCAAGTCAGGAGCCTGTAGGTCAGTAGTTGTCATTGGTTCATGTCTGTCATTTTTGTTTTTCGTAAATTGTTTTTCTATAAATTAGGCCGTTGGTTTTCTCGTTTGAATTGTAAAGTTTACATTTTTTTCATGTCGGGGCCTTTTATACACGACTAGACAGAATGGGATTTTCTCATTTTTTAAGGCTGTACGGTTGACAATTATGGCTTTCATAACTTCATTTGAACTCTGGTGGATAGTTGTCTCATTGGCAATTATACCACATACATTTGTAGTTGTTTAAAACTTAAAAGCCAATGTTTGTTTGTTTGTTTTGGTTTTTTTATCAGCTTCAGATATGCAGATACTGGGACCAATATATAAAGGGACTAAGGACTAAAGTAACTAAGATTATTTTTTTCAATTTCACTGCCCCGCAAAAATTTATCTGTAAATGGCTGTTTTGGGGGACATTTCTCTGTTCAAACGTCGATTTATTATTTTTCTTAATATCCTCTTAAGTTAGGATTGCATTTTTAACTAGCGCATATTTTCTAAATCTAACCTCTTTTGCGTTTGTGCAATAAAACATCATTAAAATTTTAACATCTGCGATAAATTCACCACCATAAAACGTAATAAAGAGTAACTTCAAAATGCCGAAATCTTAAGCATATACTTATTCGGAATCATTGAACCTCCGAAATTAATAACTATCGGGGAGGGGCCACGAAGACCGAGTGGTCTAAGTAGTCCAACTACTGTATCACTAGCCTGTCAACACTGATGTTGTGAGTTGGAACCCTGCAAGTGGCAGGTGTGCCCGACTCAAATCTTAATTGACTAGAATTGTCAGTTTTCCTGCCGAAGGTCGATGATTCTCTCAGAGCACTCCGACTTCCTCAACCAATAAAAACTGACCGCAACAAAATAGCCAATAGTGCTGAAAGTGGCGTTCACATCAATCAACCTATCGGGGATATATAGTAATTGTTATTTCCGTCTGGTCGGTCGTCCAGTCGCACTTTGTATCCACAACTACTCCTTATTTAACCAGTAACTTGATTTCATTGAAGGTTAATTTTCTAATGATCCTTGCATGCCTCTTATTTATTTGGAATTTCGCCGATTACATAGAAACGTCTACATATTCACAAAAAAATGGTTTAGGCATCTTTTATTAGCAATTTATACTTTTACTAATATAAACCGCTGACTCGACTTACATACATATTCCAAAGAGTCTTTCATACCAAATTACATTGTACATCTTCAATCCTATTTTTATCCAATTATTTTTTCACATAATTGGAGTAGCGGTGTATCAGTGTGTGGGCTGAGATCACAGTTTTTCTGCATTTCTCTTTGTAATAAAATTTGAGAAGTTCTTAAAAGACTATTCTTCTCCTTTACTCTGCGTCATGATAGATTTTATAATGAATCTATACATTAGATCAAACTACCAAAACTTTGTATTTTACCACATACAACTTTCCTTTGACCTCAAATCCATGAATTAAGGTTGTTAGAAAGGATAAACTACCTTTGTCCTACTAAACATTTTAATCACAGTTGACTGTACCATTCCCACTTTTTAGCAAAACTACTCGTTTAACAGGGACATCAAAAATTTTAATTGCCCATTTGTTTTTCCTTGACCTGTTAAACTCGTTTTCTAATATCGAAATCTTTGTTAGACAAGAATCGGTTCACCACAAAAATCACGTGAAACTAATGAATATTCAACAAAATGTCTATTTTTACCTGTGTGTTTATATAATACCAGGTAGTTGTAAAAGTTTCAAGCTCAATCGATTTAAAGCATCATACGAATCATGTGATATAGCTTTTTTATTTTCATAATGGCTACGATCGTTTATTTATTAATTTGCTTTCTCTTCGAGCACAAAGGAATAACAGCAAAGTATTCTCCTGACTGGGACTCATTAGATTCAAGACCGTTACCAGATTGGTATGACAAAGCCAAATTTGGAATCTTCCTTCATTGGGGAGTATTTTCTGTTCCAAGTTTTCATAATGAATGGTTTTGGCCACAATGGAAGTCGAGGCACCCAGCTCCTGATATAGTCAACTTCATGAAACATAATTACCGACCTGATTTTACCTATGCTGACTTTGCTGCAGATTTCACAGCAGAATTCTTTAATCCAGATGAATGGGCAGATATATTTAAAGCCTCGGGAGCAGGGTAAGTTTACATATTTTAATATCGCACACATGGAACTGTGGAAGGAGAACCTGATCAATGTCCGTCTGTTCACCAGATTGTTAAGTTTAAGTATATTTTTGGCATATCAGTGCATGCTATATATATAATACTTAACCACTGCAGTCTTCTCGTATAATATAACACAATTCTCGATGGTCAACTCAAGTTTTTGATAGATTTTATTGATGTTGCTTGCTATATGTCAAGCGAAAAATATTTCACAAATCTCCGGGATAAGAACAAATTAACAATAAATTAATTGATAGGTTCGACAGGTGGACACGTTCTGCCGATGAAGAGCGAAAAAAATGTTGACTGCTATTTTGATTTGATTATGTAATTTGCTATTCGTAGTCATTCCTTAGAGCCTCTTATGCATATAGATATGTAAGCAACATCTCAGTTATGACCAACATCTTCGACTTGATTGACTACAAGCTTGATTACGTTTATTTCTGAGAAACTCATGTGTGTTGTATGAATTAGTTTACATTGATATATACAATCACAATTGTTACAAAGACATTGGTTCTTCTTGAACTATATATCTCTTGTTACGTCTTGCTTAGAAAATATATATTTACAGATGCATTTGCAACACTTTTTAGATATGTTGTCCTGACCAGTAAACACGGCGAAGGCTTTCCAAACTGGCCATCCAGCCATTCTTTCAACTGGAATGCAAAAGCAGTCGGACCTAACAGGGACCTTGTTGGTTAGTACATGTGCTAAGGATGAATCATTGGATTCCTTTTTCCAATATAACCTTTCATATACTTGGATTTGGACAATAGAAAAAAGATTGTATTCAGTTCATTAAAAAATAAATTGAAGTTGTCCTTATAGTTGATAAAACAGAAAATATGCTGTAGTTTATCCGTTTTGGTAGATAGAGTGAACATGCGAGCTTTTGACTAACATTTTGTAGATAGAGTGAACATGCGAGCTTTTGACTAACATTTGGTAGATAGAGTGAACATACCAGCTTTTGACAAACATTTTGTAGATAGAGTGAACATGCGATCTTTTGACTAACATTTTGGTAGATAAAGTGAACATACGAGCTTTTGACTAACATTTTGGTAGATGGAGTGAACATGCGAGCTTTTGACTAACATTTTGGTAGATAGAGTGAACATGCGAGCTTTTGACTAACATTTTGGTAGATGGAGTGAACATGCGAGCTTTTGACTAACATTTTGGTAGATAGAGTGAACATGCGAGCTTTTGACTAACATTTTGGTAGATAGAGTGAACATGCGATCTTTTGACTAACATTGTGGTAGATAGAGTGAACATGCGATCTTTTGACTAACATTTTGGTAGATAGAGTGAACATGCGAGCTTTTGACTAACATTTTTGGTAGATAGAGTGAACATGCGAGCTTTTAACTAACATTTTTGGTAGATAGAGTGAACATGCGAGCTTTTAACTAACATTTTTGGTAGATAGAGTGAACATGCGAGCTTTTGACTAACATTTTGGTAGATAGAGTGAAAATGCGAGCTTTTGACAACATTTAAAACAATACTTTTATTATATTAGCATTTATATATTTTAGTTTGATATTAACTATACAATCATTTTAGGAGACCTAGCTAATGCTATAAGGAATAAAACGGATATAAAGTTTGGTACATACTACTGTATATCCGAATGGCTTCATCCCTTGTATATGAAAGATAAGGCGAACAACTTCACTACACAAAGCTTTGTATTGGTAAGTTACGTAGTCTTAGTATTAATATAGTCATGTCCATAAACCGATTGGATGTACGTCATTGTGACAGCACGAAGACCAGAAGGACATCTAGAGGTCAACATACGGTAGTCAACAATAGACAAGTGTCTATACAATATATATAAAGCACAAAATCTCCTCAAGTCTAGAAACTGTCATCATCACCAAATTCTTTACAACACAAAAACAAACTTTAGATATAAATAAAATAAAAAAGCATGATAGTTTATCACGTAAAACTTGAAAATCCATTGGCGTTTTAATTCTTATAATTTAGTTCATTAAAGGTTGCAAATAATTAAAAATTGTTTGTTAGTGCACATCTACGAGAAATTTTATGTATTCATCAAATTATAAATACCTTCTTTTCCGTTAAGACAAAGGCTTTACCTGAACTATATGAACTTGTAAACAAGTACAAACCGGAGATATTATGGGCAGATCTGGCCGATGGTCAAGGACCAGCTTCTTACTACAAGTCTAAAGAATTCCTTGCCTGGTTGTATAATGACAGGTAAGGATTCAAAGCTGACCAATGATGTTGATGTTAAAACCAAACTGATTACCTGGCAATATGGAATTTAGAAATATTTCAAATCTCAGTGGCACATTTTTCGACAGCAACTTGCCCATATGCGGTTCACGACCACCAATTATTCGCCAAAACCAATCTTAATTTTTCTCAATCTGATTAAAATACATAGCATGGATACGCGCTTCGCTTACAAGAGATTTACAGAAAGTCTCGGTACCGACTATTTACACCAACTTCAACAGGAAAAATGAGTAAACGATTTGCATTTCAAGGTAAAAGTTGCAAATACCTGTTAGAATAAAACAATAAACTGTCAAATACAATTTCACAAATCGTATCCCCCTTTTGTTAGCTCATTGGGTCAATGGTATGTGAGTTAATGTCATGATCACTAGGCATCCGTTGTTGTCCGTTGTCTTTTCAGGCTTAAAAAGTATTTGAACCAAACTTAGTGTAAATGCCATTTAAAAAAACAATTCAGTACACCTATGCTAAAATTTGTATTTCTAATGAAAAACGTAGTTGTAAATATTTAAATGACAAATTGAAGCATTTATGAGTCTTTAACTCAATAAACACGATTTATATCCATTTATATGAGATTAAAATATAATATTTAAGTAAGTTTTATACGTAATTTATGTGCATGCATGCAGTGTCAAGGTAACAAATTTCATATTATATTTTTTTGCTGGTTTTCTGATTGCCTTGAAATCTGCAAAATTAACTTTTTATACGCCCGTCAAATTTTTGACGGGACGTATTATGGTATACAAATGACCGGCGTCCGTCCGTCTGTCTGTCCGTCTGTCCGTCTGTCTGTCCGGCGTAAACATGTCGCACCGTAACTTGAGAACGACTTATCCAAATTTCATGAAACTTAACATAGTTGTTTCTCATGATGGTCAAACGATCTGTTTACTTTTTGGTGAAAATAAGATTAAAACTTTTTGAGTTACAGGACTTAGTAACTAAAACAGGTGTGTGTTTTTTTTCACATGTCGCGCCGTATCTCAAAAACAATTTTATGATTATTGCTTAAAACTTTACACACTTCTTAGTTATATTGACCTTAAGATCTGTATACTTTTTGGTGATGATTCAAAATTTTATTTTTGAGTTATTGAGTATTTTGTAAAAAAAGGGGGAGGGGTTTTTCACATGTCGCGCCGTATCTCAAAAACGATTTATGATTATTGCTTAAAATTTTACACACTTCTTAGTTATATTAATCTAAAGATCTGTATACTTTTTGGTTTTGATTCAAAATTTTATTTAAGAGATATTGAGTTTTTTGTAAAAAAAAAAGGGGGGGTTTTCGCATGTCACGCCGTATGTCAGAAACTATTTATGCTTATTGCATAAAAATTCACACACAATACGACGGGCGTATCATGCGCTCATGGCGCAGCTGTTTATTTAGAATGTTTATATTAACTCTAATGACAAATCACAGTTACTTTATTATTCTATGTAACACGTTTTTTTTAAACTAATTTCAATCGACGTTGATGAAATGCATGTCTATCTTCTTCTTCTTCTTCTTCCGGAAGTAGACTCCTAGGTAGGAGTGTTAAGCTTCCTGTAACCAATACTAGATCAACCGGTAAATTATTTCTTCTTTTGGATATGAAGCCTTTCAGTAATGATTTAAAAGCACAAAGATCCTAAAAATTGTGCACGGCACTTTTCTTTCATCACAGTGTAGAGAAAAAAATTCAAAAGCTCGAGTAAAAAATAAGTGCGTACCCTTTTGTCATGTCTATGCTGTTGCCAACAAATTTATAAATGACAACAATATTACACTTGTAAAAAGTGCAAATACATGTTGGAAACCAAGCCAGCAGAAGAAAAACGTTATCACTGCAACAAATGGAGTATAATCATTTCACAACAGCATTCATAAATACAGAAATTTGTCTATATTGTTACTGTCTATCATGTTACGTTAGTTTAAGTAACAAGATAGACAACATAAAGAGGAGGGTTTAAAAATTGCAATTTCGACATTTTTTTTAAATGACCAAATTAGGAATGCTCTTTATCTGGTTCACTACAAAATTTATATCTGACAGCTCTATCCAATTTAAAAAATGGCCACCAAAGCCTTTGAGCGGTCGACAAAAACTACGAATTAGATGGTAGAAATGTTTCTGGAATGATCATCACACATTTCGCAAATAGACACATGAAATAAGTAATTTTCATAGATGTGGTCAGGGGTAATATAAAAAAAACCAAATTACATGTCGTATCTCAGCAGATAATGGACTGATTTAAACAATAGGAAACTGAGAAGAATTCACAGCATATTCAGACTTCGACAGAAAATGAACAAATACAAGTACATGTATATAATATGATCCTTTCAAGTTTTATTAAAAAGTAAATTTTGTCACTTTTATCTCCGATTACAAACCATTGAAGAAATAATTACAAGTTTCATGTGCTTTTAACCAGTTCCTTTTAATTTATTTAGATTACAATATTTTGACTCCAAAATTCATGTGTACGCCCGGTCGTTTTGACGTAAACGTAGCTACGCGCCTGTGCCCGTAAATTCACATTTGAGATAACTCGAATAATTCTGCGCCCTCTAGCGGCCTATAGCCTATCGGTTAATGTAGCAATCGGAGATTAGTCGGAGATCGGCGGAATATAACGACTGACATTATTCGGGTTACATTTGAGACGACCCCTTTCATTTACCTGTCAAAGTCAGTGTCAACAGTCGGTACCGAGACTTTAGGCGAGGCGAAGCGTTGGGACAGGATCTGTATTTTAATCAGATTGAATTTTTCTCGGTTGTAGTCCGAGTTGTGCCATCATTATTTAATCGCTTTCATTGAGATATATCTAGTTCGATCAGTGATTAAGATGATGGTAAGCGTTTCCAACAGGGTCCTGCGAGTAAGATAGAAATGATATTCTTGGATTTTTTATTAGCAACAAAATTACAGAATAATCATTATATGATCATCTATGCTTGGATTATAATGCCAATGCATTGGCTTCCAATGAAAAACTACTTCCTCTTTCAAAATGTTGCTTATCCATCTTGACTGCCAAAAGAGTTAAGTGATTGTTCTTATTTATGCTAAATAAGTGAGCTCCCATACAAATTATTTAAAATATTTGTTAAAAACTTTGAAAAAAACGACGATCGTTTTGTTTACATTATTAGAACGTGTAAATATCGAATACATATAGTTACTAGTATACGTTTTTTTTTTTATAATTTGCGACGAAAATTACATCTACTGTGGAAATCAATGTGATATTATTCAAATTAAGGACCTTCACATATACTTTCATTGCAGTCCTGTGAAAGACAGTGTTGTCACAAATGACCGCTGGTGTCATGAATGTTTCTGTAAACATGGGGGATACAAGACCTGCAGAGATAAATGGAATCCTGGTTAGTAATGGAGAATTTTATAACATACTGTTAATTTTATAAAAGTTTAATGTACGTCAATTACACACATTTTTTTGGTCTTCAGAAAAGAAAGATTAGGCGGTCGAGGGTTATGGAGATTTAATCTAATGAATAGAGCAATGAATCCTCGATTCTATTAGAACATAGATGTTAACATGGTTAAGATAATGCTAAAGTTGAAATGTAAAAAAACGTTGGTGAGATATCAGATGTCTATAGACTTGGTGGGACTAATTTGAGGAATATTGCCGGCATCAGTTTTGTTGTCGAGTTGTTTTGAAGCATGTTCCTACACTATATTTGCCATGGGTTAAATTGATTTTATATATAATTGATCGGTGTTACATCAAAATTTTCGTGTCTTGAAATTGAATGAACATAAATATTTTTTGTTTGAAGGTAAACTGCAGAAATTTAAATGGGAAGATTGTATGTCGGTGGACAGGCATTCCTGGGGATACCGTAGAAATGCTCCTCTTGATTCATATCTAGATATAAACCAAATCATCTCAACGTTCGCATCAACAATCAGGTAAATACAAAATTGCAAATGACAAACAAAAGATTTGAAATTGAGGTTAAGTGTTAAAACTTTACCTAATCTCACCATATAGTAATGCGCCTTGTCAAAACAAACCAGGAATATCGCCAGTCTTTAACCATATTTTATTTGTTTTGGGTTTTTTTTTGTCGATTGCCACTGATAAAAAACTTTTGTTCAGTACTTTTCTAGACTGGCGATTACGAGCTTGACAAATTAACTAGACATGTCTTTTGTTGACTGCTAGAGATCTTTTGACTCGTTTTTGTTTTTAGTTTGTTGTCTCATTGAAGTTTGATCCAACATCCCCCACATCTCCTTTTATTTACATTTTTTTAATTTGTATTTCATTTTGAATATATTGGAAAATCATGAGAAATTGATAAAAATTAGGATTTGTATTTTGATATGACTTTTATATTGGAAACATTCTATTTGTTCGGACTCGAGTCATCATAATTACATATCATTTCCATATTTATACCCATGTTAGAAAAGAATGCTGACTGCAGTGGAAACATGCCAATGGTAGTCAAACGTTGTATTGCTATGCATACTGACTATGTATACTGACCATGTTTACTGACCATGTTTACTGACTATGCTCGATTTTTTTTCAGTTGTGGTGGCAATATGCTGATGAATATTGGTCCAACGAAGGAGGGAACAATTATTCCAGTATTTGCGGAAAGATTACGACAGTTTGGAAGTTGGTTAAAAATAAATGGAGAAGGTGTTTACGGATCAGTACCTTGGAGCCACCAAAATGATTTCACTACAAAAAATGTCTGGTAATGGTTTATATATTGCAAGAGTTTACCTGGTTTCTTGACCTATGTGTCATTTGAATATTTGTTTCAGTAGATTCAGGGTAACATCATTGTTGAATTAAGAATGATATTAAAATATCACTTTTTATTTCTTTTTCAATATATACAGACTACCTTGGTTGTCTCACGGAAGCGTGTTGGCCTCAAGCACGGGAGGTCCTTTGTTCGATCCATTGCAGTGCCAAACCAAAAACTAAAATATTGGTATTTGCTGCTTCTCTGTCAAGCACACATCATTCGGGAGTAAGAGCAAAAACTAGCCAGCTCTGAGAAATAGGAGTCCGAGTATAAAGACATGTCTTCCTGCAGATTGATACCTTGTGATCTATCATGTTAAAAATTCGACAATGACAGCGTGTCGGTCTAGGACAAATCATGGTTCATATTCACATTAACAGACATGAAATATTTGCCACTGGACATTGAACACATCCGTCATCACCTCATCATCATCGTACAATTTTAATCTTCTATATTACTAATATTAGATTTTTTTTAATCGATTTTAACAATTATATTTAAAATTAAACTTATATATCAAAGAATAAGTAAATATATTTTGTGATATACTGTCATATTTTGTAAAGGTACACGAAAAAGAAAACAGAAAATGATGGTACCATGGTATATGCAATAATGCTTACATGGCCAGACGATTCTGTATTGGTATTGGGAGCACCAATACCTTCTCAATCTACACAAGTCACTATGCTTGGATATGAGGGAACAGTCAACTGGATATCAGGACCTGGTGGACAAGGGATGAATATTACCCTACAAAATATACCATGGAATAAGCTGCCTTCTCCATGGGCATGGGTGTTTAAGTTGACTTATATAACGAACTAGGCTGTATGTTATGCATGATATATATATATATGCCCGGTATACCAGAAAGAGATTTGTCTAGTCTAGATGTTAAAGGCACACCATCATTCCAAAAACACTACAAGAAAGAGATTAATCTATATGTTAAAGGCACATAACATTCTCCAATGAAAATTATAATACGACAAACACACCTGTGTATTGCTCGACTGATAAAAGCATCATGTTTTTGCAATGTTTGAATTGTTTTGATTTTAGAACTATGTATTCATAAATTATGACTTAGATAAATATTTAAACAGTATTTCAAAAGGTGATAGATTTGTCTTTATAATTGTTCAATGAACACATATTATGCATTGTGATTGTATCTCTGTATATATATATATATATATATATCTTTTTTTCCCTTACTTATGAAAATATTTATGTGTATTTTTTTACTTTTTTATCAACATCTATTTATCTTCTATTTTCTTTATTTTATATTTACTATTGTTGTTACAGGAATAAACAAATGAAACTTTTGATGAAAATACACAAAAAGTGCTCTCTACATATTTCATTGTAATTGATATGACTACTATTATTATTTATTTGTGGCAAAGATGGACATGAGACAACAACGTCAAGAAATAATTGGAAATAATTCAATAACAAAACAGATCTGTTAAAGGTGTTTAATATCCCGACAGCGTTCTAACGTCTGTAACTCATTAGCTCACTGTCGGACGACAGAAAATACTGTCAACACAGACTACATGTTTGGCAGTGTTAAACCCATGCTGAGTGTGTGTGGGTGGTTCACTTGGTTTTGCGGTTTTATTAATATGCAGCCGCGTACATTCAGAATGGGGACGTTTAATTCCATGCCTTGTGTATCGAGAGAACCTCTCCATGTTACAAACCTTTGTTCAAACACTGAGGGATGTGCAGGCCTTTTGCAAAGCAAGTTTTCTGCATGTTTCTTTTTTTTCTAGTGATTGTCCAATTTCCAACCCTTCATCTCAGACGACCCAATTGGAAAAACCCTAAAATGTTCATATTTATCGATAATTTGTTGCTGTCCTGAATTATCCTTTGATACTTGCCACTGGACTAGAAGCAAGTAAAAATCGACCATCTTATCAACCTAGGGTTGATTTTCCACGAGATAGCAACCCATCAACACATATCTCCCAAAAATAGACACATAAAGGTAACTGTGTAGTCCGGCCATACGAGTCAATAAACAAATTTATAATCTCCTCAATTCCAGGCAAGTTACGGGTTCAAAAGAGACAAAATGTATACAATAATTCTAAAAAAAATGGACAAATAAGAAAAAGACACCGTGAATTATTTCAATGCACAATACTAGGATGCAGAAAATTGAAGAAGATGGATGGCTGAATGAATGGTTGTTTAACGTCCAGTGGCAAATTAAATATTCGAGACCAGAACATGTTTGTGCGATATGAATTGAACCTTGCTTTATACTAGACCGACACGCTATGTCGGATTTTTAACGTACTAGTTCACAAGGTAACAGTCCACAGGAGGACATGTCGACCTACCCGGACACATTATTCTAACTCTGAGCCGACCAGTCCAAACTCTATCTCCTTAATGCGGCGTGCTTAGAGGAGAAGCAGCAAATACCAATTTTACAGTCTTTGGTTTGGCCCGGCCGGGGTTCGAACCAACAACCTCCCGTACAAGAGGCAAACACACTACCACCGATTGAAAAAGAAGAGAATTGCTTGTGATATATTAGCTCTTTTTTAGACTCATATGTTGCCTCTTCCAATGTAAATAGTAGGAGGTGTGGGGATTGTGGGCATGCGTCAATGAGACAGCAACCCAAATGAAACAAAAACAAAAGTAATCGATGTCAACAATGAACACAATATGTCAAAATCTCCCCTGGTCTAAACAAGATCTATTGTTTACTCAAATTTACATATTTGAAATGAAGGTAGATGTGGGGTATACATCAATGAGACAGTAATCCAATGATAACAACAATACAACTAGAAGGCAGTCTTCAACAATAGACGGGTGTCTTTACAATATGTAAAGCTGTACTGAATTCGTTCCGTTTCTATATAAAAAAATGAGAATAACACTTTTATAGATTTGATGCATCCGATGTGCTTTTATAGATTTATAAAATTGTGAATAGATTTAATAGGATCAATTAAATATCTGCTCATACACTCAATTCTCCAAATAACTAAAACAGTTAGAGCGACTGACATGGTTCCTAGTTTGGAACATGCATGTTAAAATGTAGCGGGGTTAAAATATTTTTTTAGAGACCATCACATATTTTAATCTCGACAAGAACATTAATTCACAAAACGTACACAAATATTAAACATACAAGAAAGATCAGTACAAGAAAAGCACTTCAATCTAAAATAACGGTATAATAGATAACGCAATCAATAACAAAGTTTAACGTTTTAAACAATGCATACCGTTTTGAAATATGATTGTAGTGTAGTTACTACAAGCAATTGCAAGACCATAGGACATCTTTACCAGGTCAAAGAAAAAATTATAAGTTTAAAGAAAGGACTCTTTTACAGGGACATGCATCTTTGAACTGATAATTGCTCAATTGTGTTTTGTTTTTTCTTTGACTTGTTAAACTCGTTTTCTAATTTCGAAATCTGCATTTGTTTGACAATAATCGCCGTGCATGCATAGGTGCGGATTAAGCCCCCCCCCCCCCTTTCACGAAACCAGACAGAAAGAAATGTAATTTACTGGTAAAATAATAGAAATAATAGTCATTATTTCTGTCAAAATACGGTCCCCTAATTCCTTTTGATTTTGCCATTTTGATAAGGGACTTTCCGTTGTGAATTTCCTTGGAGTTCGGTATTTTTGTTATTTTACTAATTCTCAGGACCCATGTCACATGGTTGTATTAAATAAAAATACAGTGAAACCAATGAGTATTCAATTGAACAAAATGCCTATTTATATCATCAGGTAGCTGTATTGCTTCGGTGCACAATCGATTTTAAAGCCTATAGAGCATATTTCTATACAAATCATGTGATACTGTTTTGATATTTTTCATAATGGCCACGCTTCTTTATTTATTACTCTGTTATCTTTTCGTGTACAAAGGAATAACAGCAAAGTATACTCCTGACTGGAACTCAATAGATTCAAGACCATTACCAGACTGGTATGACAAAGCTAAATTTGGAATCTTTATCACTTGGGGTGTTTTTTCTGTTCCAAGTTTTCATAATGAATGGTTTTGGCCAAATTGGAAGCGAAGAGCTCCAGATATAGTCAACTTTATGAGACATAATTACCGACCTGATTTTACCTATGCTGACTTTGCTGCAGATTTTACAGCAGAATTCTTTAATCCTGATGAATGGGCAGATATATTTAAAGCATCAGGAGCAGGGTAAGTTGCTTATTTTCATATCGCACCCGTGGAAGGCGAACCATATATATTGTTGTATGTGATATTGTCCGTAGGTTCAACAGATTGTTAATGTTTAGTTTTAAGTTATCGAGCCACAGTATGTTTGGCATGATATTAGTGCATGATATATAGTACTTCACAACTGCTGTCTTCTCGTATAGTATAACATAATTCTCCAAGTCTAAGTTTTTGATAGATTTTCTTGATGTTAAATTGTTGGTATGCCCAGTAACACATAAAAGTAAAGCGACGGGGATAAAGAGCGAAAAATGTGGACAGCCATTTTAATTTGGTAAATCGGTTTTTGTGTTCATTCGAAAGAACCTCACATTCATATATTACTCGACTTACGAAAGCTATACTAGTATTTGTATAGCCTTGTTGGCCGAGTGGTGCACAGCACTGGTCATAATGCAGGCGGTAATTCCACGATGTCACAGAAGCAGGGGGATTTGAATCCCGCTTAGGGAAGAACAAAAAATTTATTAACGCAAAGGGGGTATGTTTAGGGCCCTTTTCGACCTACAAAACTGAAGTATTACAAAAATAGGTAATTTTAGCTTTAAAATAATCGCTAAGTATTTTTTTAAGAGTAATATATTTGAAATATCATAAATATTTACAGCGATTTTAGTGTGAAGATATCAAAATTTCAATATTTTTTTCCAAACGATACAACATTCATATATTTTTCACACTTATTTGTTGGCCGAGTGGTCTTTGGCAGTGGTCATAGTGCAGGTGGTGTTGCCACGATGTCACAGAAGCTGGGCTTTGAATCCCACTGAGGGAAGAACGACCCTCGCTACGTATTACTTAGAAGAAACATATTTAAACATATACATTCTCCAATACTTTTTAGATATGTTGTCCTGACCACTAAACACGGTGAGGGCTATACAAACTGGCCATCGAGTCATTCATTCAACTGGAATTCAAAAGCAGTTGCACCTAACAGGGACCTTGTGGGTTAGTACAGGTGCTTATGATGAATTACAACTTGATTCTTTTTTTTCACTGAACATCTAAATAACACCCAATACTCATGTAACATCCAAATAACATCCAATACTCATGTTACATCCAAATAACATCCAAACATCCTATACTCATATTACATCCAAATTACATCCAAACATCCAATACTCATGTTACATCCAAATAACATCCAATACTCATGTTACATCCAAATAACATCCAAAACTCATGTTACATCCCAATAACATAAAAACATCCAATACTCCTGTTACATCCAAATTACATCCAATATTCATGTTACATCCAAATAACATCCAAACATCCTACACTCATGTTACATCCAAATAACATCCAATACTCATGTTACACCAAAATAACATCCAATACTCATGTTACATCCAAATAACATCCAATACTCATGTTACATGCAAATAACATCCAAACATCCAATACTCATGTTACATCCAAATAACATCAAAACATCCAATACTCATGTTACATCCAAATTACATCAAAAACTCATGTTACATCCAAATAACTTCCAAACATCCAATACTCCTGTTACATCCAAATTACATCCAATACTCATGTTACATCCAAATAACATTCAAACATGCAATACTCCTGGTACATCCAAATTGCATCCAATACTCATATTACATCCAAATAACATCCAATACTCATGTTACATCAAAATAACATCCAATACTCATGTTACATCCAAATAACATCCAAACATCCAATACTCATGTTACATCCAAATAAAATCCAAACACTCAATTCTCATGTTACATCCAAATAACATCCAAACATCCAATACTCCTGTTACATCCAAATTACATCCAATACTCATGTGACATCCAAATTACATCCAATACTCATGTTACATCCAAATTACATCCAATACTCATGTTACATCCAAATAACATCCAAACATGCAATACTCCTATTACATCCAAATTGCATCCAATACTCATGTTACATCCAAATAACATCCAATACTCATGTTACATCCAAATAACATCTAATACTCATGTTACATCCAAATAACATCCAAACATCCAATACTCATGTTACATCCAAATAACATCCAAACATCCAATACTCATGTTACATCCAAATTACATCAAAAACTCATGTTA